CCTCAGGGCCACATCTGTGTTTGTAAGAACAAACATTTTTATTGATTTCAGAGAGGAAGGGAGAGATAGAAAGAGATAGAAACATCAAAGATGAGAATCATTGATCGGCTGCCTCCTGCATGCTCCCTACTGGGGATCGAGCCTGCAACCCCAGGCAAACATGGAATTGAACCATGACCTCCTGGTTCATAGGTAGACACTCAACCACTGAGCCACACTGGCAGGGCCAGAGCTGTGTTTTTTACATGGCCAGTACCTGGCAGGAAGTGAATATTTAGACAGTGTTTTGGTTGTTGCAGGAAAATACCTGTGACGGAATCAATAAGCCAGTCCCTTGGTGTGGTAGACAGAATAATGGCTCCCAAAGATACCCGTATCCTGATTTCCCCAACCAGTGGTTATGTTACCTTATAGGCCAAAAGGGACTGTGCAGCTTGATTAAATCTGAGATGATGAGATTGTCCTGAATTACCTGCATGGGTTTGTCATCATGTGTCCTCCCGAGAGGGAGGCCAGAGGAGCTGTGAGGAAGGAAGAAGAGAGGCTGGAGGGATGCCCTTGATAATGGAGGAAGAGGCCATGAACTAAGACATGCAGGCCGCCTCCAGCGACCACAAAACCCAAGGAGATGCCTGCTCCCTGGAGCTTCGAGAAGGAACACACGCCTTGATCTTAGCCACGTAAGTCTCACTCTGGACTTCCGGCTTCCAGAACAAAGATAATAACTCTGCGTTGTCCTAAGCCAATAAGCTTGAAGTAATTTGCTACAGCAACAGAAATGAATAGACACGGCAATTACATTGAGGGTTCCCTTGGATGGTAAACAGTACATTGTCAACTTCCGCCAGGGGCCTAATTTCCACCTCACTCCCCATAAACAGGAAGCTAGCGTTCCTCTGCTTCCTGTCACCCATCATGAACTCTTCAAGATCAGGAATGACATGGGTTTCGTTGTGATGATGGATAACTGGGACACCGTTATGTCCTCCTGCCACGTGATGAGATACTAAGGAGAGCCCAGCCTTAGAGACATGTCTCATGAAGCCGTGGGTACCGTTGGCTGTACTTGCACCCCATCCCCATCCCAGCAATTCCTCCCATGACTGACTCTCAGAAGCAGTTTGGCAAATGACACGCAGGTGGAATCCAATTGGAGAAAATACTGGCACCCAGCTAATAACTCTGCACAGTCAGTTGTGAAAGTGACTTACGGTGACAACATGTATTATACACACTAAGCCGTGTAAGCTTTCCGGACACCTCAGGAATTGGGAGGCAACGCGTGTTTTATTTTTGACGCCGCTAAATGCATCCACAGCTTGATGGCCCTCATAAGTAATCATGGAATTGCCCGTCAGAGGAAAATGCCGGAGAGATTCGCCGAGGACACACCAACCCAGTAACCGAAGGTGTCACCATTTTAGGCCGCGCAGAAGTGAGTCTGGCAGCCAGAATAATGAGAGGAGACGAGACAGCCTCTGAAGGCTTAGATTTCATGTATTAAAAACATCTTCATAAAGACTAGTTCTGTGCCCCTGTAGGTTTGCTGGGATGGAATTCATGTAAATTGCACAGAGGGTAAGCCAAGGAGCTGGCTCTGCAAAGATCTTTCTCAATTTATGAGAGGATAACATTTCGGAAATTTAAATAACACAAAGGCAGTTTTTAAAATGACAGTAAAACAATGAAAAAGACTGTGTTGCCTAAGTCTAAGGTGGAACCCAGCCTCGATTCGTTTGCAATGGAAAACTTTTACTCTTGGCCACAAGATGGTGATATCACAAAGCAAATCCAAAGACAAACCAAATTACAGTCCAAATTATTTGTTCTTTACTTGTGTTTCTTTCCAAGCTGAGCCTTAAAATTCTCATCAGTCAGCGTGTTCCCCTGACTTGCATTTCAAGATCAGTTCCCTCATGTGTTGTGGGAGCAGAGAAGAAATCACACGAGACATCGCAGAGGCTAATGGCACAAAGATTAAAAAAAGGAGACACCTTGCCGTGTGAAGGCTATTCCATTGGAACTTTCGAGAGAACTTTTAAATCTTTCCACATGTTTATGGAAAATAATTCCTGCTGTGCTTGTGAGCAGAGAGCACACTCGGGAGACTTCTCCTAGCCCAGGGGTAGGCAGACGTGTTGCAGCTACTCTGCCATTGTAGCAAGAGCAGCGCTAGAGAGCAGGTAAGACTGTTCCAAATAAGTGTAGTTACAGAAGTTGATGCAATTCAATGCTTAGGAATAAATTACCAAAGAAATGCAAGGCCACACACTGAAAACTACAAGACATCGCTGAAAGAGATAAATGAAAAGGTACCCCAGGTCCATGGAACAGAAAACAATATTGTTAAGATGACAACACTCCCCAAATTGATCAATAATTCAATGTAATGCCTATTAAAATCCCAGCTACATTTCCCAGTAATAAACAAGCTAATTCAAGCATTTCTGTGGAAACACAAAGGACCAGAATAGCCAAATTGATCTTAAAAAGAACAACAATGTTGGAGGACCCACCATTCCGGACTCAAACTTACTATAAAGCAGCAGCAGGACGTGCATTTTGCTTTTGAAATATCAAAGTGACAAATGAGTTTTATAGGTTCAAAGCATAATATGTCTAAACAATGAACGTTTAGGAAAAAAAAAACACCAAGAGTTTTCATCATCAGAAATAATTTTATTTATTTTAAAGCAGTTCAATGTAACTGGTAGCAAAATGTTACATAGACAATAAACAACCTGTTCCCTTAGGGTTACAAGGACTATTATTGGCTTTATGTTTTATTTTCATGTGCAAGTGTATTTTAAAAAGGCAATCGTTTTTGTTAAAAGGCTTTTATTAGCATGTTTTTATTCTTTAAATAACAGAAAGACTAGTAAACTATCATTGTTACAGCAGGCTGTATGAATTGTGTTAAATAGTAAATTTGGATGAATATTCATAATCAAAATAATTATTGTAAAATGTATGAAATGGGGTTTTTAGTTTTATAGGAAACATAGTCATGTCTTAACTTAAAATCCTAGTCTTGACAGCTGTCATAATGCAGAAAGTCTTAACTTGAGATCCTGGGAAGAAATGGAAGATTCATAAAATCTTATGTTTATTCCTAACAATAACTGTAATGATGTAAAGAAATGGCAATCGAAAGAAAGACTGACTGTTGATGTGCAAATATGAAACAGGGTCAGTAAATGCATCGCTGTTCTCCAGTGCATATACTACTTTGATTCTGCCTTTAGTTTGAATAAAGTGCTTGTTAATGTGTGTTTGTCAAATACCTTTCCCATGTGCTTATAACATAGACATACCTATGCATACAGTCTTTGTTTTAAGGCATGCTTTCCGTTTTAAGTAACCTGTTATAAATTCCACTTCTCTGTCTGATGAAAGAAAATTAAAGGTAGGCTCTCCCTGTTGTAGAGGAAATTCTTGGTGGCTTTATTATTCCAAAATGAGAGTAAGGTAAAGTACAAAAAATTAAAAAAGAAAAACACAAATAGGCATTTCATTCTCTAAGCCAAAATAGAGAATGGCGATAATCTACAATTTCACATTTTATGTTTTACATTTTTATTTCCATAGAATTATTTGGGGACTATTAGGTTTTCTTTCTCTCTGTTTTGTTTTAACCTTTCTATTTTCCTTTCAATTTCTCTGCTTCTCTATGAAAAAAAAAAGATAAAATTTATCTGTCTTATATGTCCTATTTTCTACTGAACTGAAACTCAAGGTCAAAATCAGAAAAATGGAAAACTACAAAGTTGGAAGAAAAATAACTTTTTAAATTTACCAATGTCTCTCTCTACCTTAACACATTGCAACTAATGGACAACTATACTCTGTGCTTCTCTTTATTTTTCTGAAGGAGATTCGGAAATACAGGCAAAGGCCCTGGTGCCATCCAAAGTCCATTGACATTTCATTTGTAACTGTCAAGTTTTCCCCGAGTTATATGCCATTTAAATGGCAAAACAATGTTTATTATATGCTTTATCCTCACAGTGTTAAACTACTGTATATTCCCATAGATAATTTTTCAAAATTAAATCCAAATCTTTAACATCAGTTTTGGGGTATGATTATTGCAATACTAAAGGCATAAAAGAGGACTTTTAGTGCTTCAAATGTTCTCGTATTCCATAAGGAGTATAGTTTTGCTTCTTTGAATTTTAAATTACCTTTCTAATGAATACTCTATATAGATACATAAAAAATGTTGAAGCTCAATAGTCCAATGAAAATCACTGCCTGGATTAAATGTAAGTCAATAAATAGGCTTTAATGTTAGGCATTCTTTTAGGAAAACGATCGATATTTGCTTTTTAATACACTCTCCCTGGCACACAATGAGGGTCAGACATAAAGTGAGCAAAAATTTCAGCTTCTCGATACTTCTTTTTATTTACTTTGGTTTCCTCGGTGTAGTAAAACATGCTATGAGCATCTCAAGTCCTAAAATAAACATGGTGTCCTATGAAAAGGCAACAACACAAGTGAAGGTGACTTAATATTCTAAAGCAAACTATGACTCCTACAAAAATGTCAGCCCACGAGTCTGTCATCCCTGTGTAGAGAAGATGATGAGCTCAATTTTGTAAAAGACCAGTTTTAAAGAATATAATATGATGCACCAAATAGAGCTGGATTTTTTCATTGACTTCCAGAAAACCTTAAAATTTGTAAAAATTGACTTCAGACAGTGCGGATTATTGTCAAACAATGCAATGAGCAGATTTAAAATCGTGTGTTTTCAGTTAGGTTTTCCAAAACCATTCCATGGATGTCTTTCCAATATTACTAGGAGAAATACCAATAAGCAGTAAGTTAAATTTCAAAATAACCTATATTTCTAAGAGAATAGATTTGTGTCAATAAGAGAGATTTGAAGATAGTCCGGTCTAGTTTATTTCGTGCCAGCCATACTTTCCTCCTAAAATAGAGAGTTCTTTCAAGCAAGCTCCTTGTCGGAAAAAAAGTTCGTTATTTTTGTGTTATCAAAGCTGAGTTTCCTCCCGAGAGTCTAGACCAGTGGCATTGCAGATGCTGTTGTTTTGACTGGGTTCGCTGTTGGGAAGGTATGACAGTGGATCTGGTCGGATTAAGTATCTGATAAAAGAAAGCAAAGCAAATAATGGTAATAGTCAGTAAACACAAAACTAGTTCACGCCGACCCCTGAGAGGACTACTGCCAATGTATTTGTTCAGTGTTTAGGTTCTCTAAACGGTGTCTCTATTTAAACGTTGGCAGAAGGACTCCCTGTTGAGTTGGCCTGTAAAATTTTGCAGGGTTAGTATTAAGTTTTTGCTTCATTACTACTTAATCTTATTCTTTCATTTAATTAAATTGAATGGGGTAACATTGGTTAATAAGATTATGCAGGTTTAAGGTATACAATTCTGTAATTCATCATCTGTATATTGTATTGCATACCCACCACCCAAAATCTAGTCTTTTGTCACCATATATTTGACCCCCTCACGCTCTTCTCCCTCTCCCCCACTCCCCTTCCCTCTGCTAAGAACCATACTGTTGTCTGTGTCTATGAATTTGTTTGTTTTGTTTGTTCATTTGTTGCTTTCTGTTTTATGCCCCACATATGAGTGAGAGCATATAGTTTTTGTCCTTTTTCCGTATGACTTATTTCACTCAGCATATTCTCAAGATCCATCCATGTTGTCACTTTAAATATCAATAGCATTGTAGGTTGATAAAGAAAGCTGATATGCACTATGATTATTAATGCCATATCATCTAGTCACTTATTGTTCTTTGAATCAAATGAATGTTGCCCCTTCATTTAAAATGGACTTTTGGGAGTGATTTTTTTAGAAAAACATAAAAGGCGTGAGTATAACCCAATATCGCCCAGATTAACTGATGTAGCTGCAAAAGTCCCTTCCCTAATAGTATTACTATGAGTCTAATAAAATAAATTTCTAAAATGTGCTTTATGTACTATTTGTCATGGTAGACATTTTTTGTTATATTTATCATTGCTGTAGTTGTACTAAAATTTAATTATCTCAGTGTCACAAATATGGATCATTGTATGTGAATAATACACAGTTTCTGATGAATAAAATTACTAACTTACACCTTTTCCTAATAGGTGTATTGATCTACTTGACTTTGGCTGGTAGGAAATCTCAGGTCTTTGGAACTAGATAGTGTAAGATATTTCAGGCTTTCCTTTGAGCTGATCTCTTATTATTCCACTAGGGTCCCTAGGCCTGGCTGGCGATCAGGGCCGATTGGGGCCTTCTGGCTGCCAGCCGAGGCCTCCCTTAGTTCTGCACCACCCCCTGCTGGTCAGTGCATGTCATAGTGGGTGATAGAACTCCCAATCTCCCAAACTCCTGTGGGGACACTTTGCATATTAGCCTTTTATATATATAGATATATTTTCTCTTCTTTCCCCAAATATATACTAGCTCACCAAATACAGAATTCATGCTGCCATTTCCTTCTTTTATTCCTTTACAATTCTGTGGTGTGTGTTTTTTTATGGTATTACACACAGAAATATAGAAAATGCAAATGTGTTTCTTGAGCACAAAAATTAGACTTGGACATTTATACCACAGGAATCATAGAGGCTATACTGGTGGGGATCAAAATAAAAAATAATAATAATAGGTGGTTTCTGAAAATAAATGCCTTGTGTGTGGGATGTAAGGTCAACTTACACAACGTCATTCAACTCTAGTCTGGTGTCCGGAGACGGGTTAATCAGGATGTATGACAGGGTGCTCTGGTGGTCATTCATTTCATCTGGAAGACAAATCAGTGCCAGGTTTGTTATGCTACTTACAGAACATCGAGAGGATTCTTAGAGAGCATCTTATCTTCAAACCATAGAGCTGTCCAGGAGAACTTGCTATAGTGTTGTCCACCGTAGGATGGTGTACACAACTGACTATTTCCAAATGGTTGTCATTGGAAATGTCTGCCGGGCACTCCTTTTCCGTCCAATAGGTGGTACATTAAACCATCTAATTCTGTTCAGAACAACCACAGTTATCTTCTACCCTTGAAATGTTGACACTGAAATAGCTTGACAAGATGTCAACTTGATTGATTATGCTTTTATCAATGATAAAAAATGATTGTGGGTATAGATGGCCAATCTCAGAAAGAAATATTCCTGTGGGAAATTCTGTGAAGTATCATCTAATGACCTTGTGTTTAGAAAACACAACAGAAGTATATCTGGGAGGCTTGAAGGCCCTAACGATGTTTGACTCTGTCCCATGAGGTGTCTGATAAAAGCCATCCTATTGGTTTTGCAGAATGCAAAGGATCCCATGGGGCAGCATTGAAGTGTAAGTTTCAAGGAAAGTATACAACCAAGTTATTTGTTTTTCCTTGAAAACAATATCCAGGGTTCACCCCCAAAATGTATACACACTTTGAATACTTACTCATTCCAGTGGGTTAAATCTGAAAAGAAAGAAACATCCCTGGAGCTACCAGCTGTGAAGTGTGTATACAGTTTGGGGGGATGCCCTGCATATGTTTCAAAGTCAAAGGCTGTGTCATTTTAACTTTGTCAGTTGCATTGGAGGACATCCCCAGACCTCAAGGTCAGAGCACTGACTTTGATGATACAAAGACACCGACAAAGAAAATAGCCCTGGCGCCTGCAGTTCTTAGCTGCCCAGTTATAATACAATGTCAATGTGAACCCATGCGGACCCACACTTCAATGGCACTACTCCTCCAAGGGTAATGTTTTCAGGCTTTGAGGGTGTTTTTTTAAATCCCTGCTCTAGAGCCATCGGACCCTCCTAGGCACTTCAGTCATAGACAAGTGTGGCTCTTGAAAGAGGTACTACATTTTATAGTTGGACTCAAAACCTAAGAATGTATTACAGACCAAGGGAGACAGATCAATACATAACTGCATGCACTTAATGCAGATGACTTTTATAGGCCAATGTAGCTGGCCCGGTAATTTCCTGCACAGGGGAATACTTGGTATGTTCATCAAATGAGGGCTACCACTGTGTTTATCTAACTAAAATTCTGTCTCTGGAATAGAAAAGGTAATACTTTTAATTATATTTCACATTGATACTCAGATGGGCCCTATTTTTAAAAATCTATAAATGAAAGTCCTCATCTTATAAGGTATGTAACTGCAGTATAACTAAATCCATCATAGTATGCCTGCAAAACTTTTACAATCCAAAGATCATCAAATTAATAGTCAAATGAAGAGATATATATGGTTGTATATATCCCAAAGTAGATACAAAGCATTGTAATCTGCCATGGGGATAAGGTTGTCAGGCAAAATAGAGTGAACTGTGAAATCTGTATTTAAGATTAAAAAGCTAACAAATTTTAGCATGAATAGGCCCCAAAGATTGCATGGGCCACACTTGTCCTAAACAATTTTTTGCTGTTTATCTGAAATTCATATTTCACTGGGAACCCTATATTTTCATTTGCTAAACCTGTCAATCTTACCCAGGGGAGGGTAGATGGCTGACTCTGGAGATGGAACTCCAGTGAGTGTATACAATGAGCCTACTCTAAATAAGGTACAACGCTGACTCAAAGGATATTGTTCTGATACGAGATAACCGGGATCATCTGTCTATACAAAAAGCAATTTATGTGTGCTTCCTGAGGAGTTCTCCCCTGTGTGGATTTCCACAACTGCTGTACAAAGGAACAGAAATTAATAGGGCCTCCTGGAGACTAAAACATAACATAAAACATAATACTCTGAAATGCAGTAGGTCTAGTAGCATACCTCCTTCTCTTTGTCTAGGTACGACTCAAATTCGTACATAAACAGTGGCAGCATTATTGAACTTCCTTATATAAACAGCACACAGTATCAAACAGTGGCATTAGGGGGAAAACAATCTTAAACAACTTCTCAGGCAACATCCGCACCCAGCCTTTCTCCTTGCTTATTAACAGGATGTCGTATTCATTTTTGGTTCTGGGATGAAGTCAGTATCTACTGGGGACTTGGTTTGCCTGTTACAAATGTAAACACTGCCTAGCAAATGGAGAGGGTTACAGCCGTAGACAGAGCGAGTGTGTCAGTAATTTTTATTTTCCTACTCAAGTTTTATCATTCTGAAGATTTTGAGTTTTCCGTGGACTCCAGGAATTGGAGCAAACATTTTACTAAGGAGTTCAATTCAATGACGACATATGGTTTATATGGAGACCTGGGTAATATCATGAAGAGACCACATCACCCCTAGTTTCTTTCCTCACCCACCCCTCACTGACTCCTCCTCAAGGTGAGGTTAATAGAAATTTTAAAAAGTAGCTGAGTTCAAAGCCATCTTCTCCCCTTATCTCTATAGTCCAACACTTTCCAACTTTTTTTTTTCACATCATGGAACACATACTCACATTAGGGTAAAGGACAGAACTGCTTATGGTGGGCATTGCCATGTGAGGGATGCCTCTGACCACCTCAGAACCCCCCCTCCCCCGGGATTTCTGAAGGTCCAAAGGCTCAGGATCCTGATAAAACACGTGACCAACTGATAGCACGCTATTGGACTAGGCATCATCTTTTGGGTAATTCAGTTCTAGACACTCAGCGTCTCATTTAAAAAATAATGCTTCTTTCCTTAACCTTCTAGAAATATGAGTGTTTTCTGGAGTTCTCTTGTCTTTCATCTGGGGTTACTTCATCTACTCCTATGGCTTTAATCAAAATCTATATGTAGATGACTCTCAGGTCTATGTAAGCATCTCATTTCTTTCTTCTTGGGCACCAGGCAGCAAAAATCCAGCTTCTTACACAACATCGCCATTGGGATTCTTCCAGGCACTCAAATTAATGTATTCTCTTCACCCCAACATATTTGTCTTCTTTTTCTAAGTTCCGTAAGTGTCACCACCTCTTAGATGTTCAAACGAGAGCCCTCAGAAGTCATCTTTTGACTCTTCCCTTTCTCTCTCCTTTATGTGTCATGGCCGATAAGTCAGGGTAATCTGCTCCTTCTGGAAGAGGCCACACCTGCTCAGGGACAGTCAGACTCCGGCTCGTGGTTGAATCAGTCATGATGCGTTGTATGTAGAGCATGTAGAACATCTTTCATTGGTGAAACACTGCAGGACCCCAACGGCGGTGCCGAAAGTACATGTGGTCTGGTGGGAACGCGCCAAGATATTGAGTCCGTGTCATCCACTGAAGTGCTGATGCGAATGTACACCAGGTCAGGTGACCCACGGAAATCATTTAAGTCCAGGCCCTGTTGTGTCGCCTGTAAGAACTCCATTTGTTCACGCATTCAGTGTGCTGTTACTGGGTTCCTGTGTGTCAGGAAATGTGCAATTTGTTGGGGATACAAAGATGAAAAGATGAGTAAGACAGTCCCTTTTCCTCAAGGAAGGAAGGCAAACGTGCAAAATGCTAATTGTTTTAAAGCACACATCCTCAAGGGAGATGATATTGCTACCAAAGGTGCAAAATTTGTTTTTGAAGTGGGCAAAAATACCCACCTCTGATATGTAAAACACTGATAGATATAGTACTTAAATAGACATATGCTAGATCTGTGGTATTAACTGAATGCCAGTTCTGGGCTAAGCACACTATTGTTCATCATCCCCTTTGACATATACAACAAACCTCTGAGATAGGTGTTCTGAGCTGCACTCCCCAAATGATAGAGGTTAAATGGTTCATTAATTCTACTGGCTGACACTGGAATAGAAGGTCCATAAAGGCAGAGGTCTTGTCTGAAGAGGTCATTGCCCCATTCCCATGCCTGGAATAACGCCTGGAACAATGCCTGGAGGGTGGCCCAATAATATCTGTTGAGCAATGGATGAATGTTTGAGAGTTAGAAATACAGGGAGCACCTGGCCCCCATGATGTGGTAGGTTCCACATCCTGTTATTATCTTTATGTGATTGGGCATGTACAGTGCATGGCTTTAGAATGAATGGATGGGTCTGTGGATAGATAGATGGATAGAATGAACAAAAAGAGAAAGAAGAGAAGCGTAAAAAGAAAGGTAGGCTGTATCCTTCCTTCCTTCCTTCCTTCCTTCCTTCCTTCCTTCCTTCCTTCCTTCCTTCCTTTCTTTCTTTCTTTCTTTCTTTCTTTCTTTCTTTCTTTCTTTCTTTCTTTCTGTAAGAGTGAGTGTGAGAATTACATTAACAAATTTATACTAAAAATTATAGAGTATAACTAAATGATAGAAGTGTTATTAGCAGAAACATAACATGCTCCCTGGTGATTCTCCCATGCAGTTAGTTGGTGCGTTTTTGTGTCTCTTAGAGCCCAGCTGTGATCCGCCTCACTGCCTCCAGCACCCGTGGAGGTTATTATGATTTTCATGAAACACAGCTGGACCTGGACAAACAGTCATTTACTAGAACTTTCCAAAAGAAGAGACTGTAGCTGGATAACAACTAACAATTGGACACAAAAATATAGGACTGTAGTTCTATGAGAAATACTATCATACTTAATAAATTGGCAATGAACTACAAACATTATTTTTAAATGAAAATTATTGTTCCCTTTTAATGTGCTTCCTAATGTAAGACTCTGTTTGATCATCCTAAAATGATGGGTCATGAATGAGTCCACATTAAAGTAGGAACAATACAATGAACAACCAATGAATCAGGGTCATAAGGAGTAATGAAAAGTGTTCAAAAAGCATCTAACTCTGTTTCTGGCAAAGAGTGGGAACTCAGTACATGTTTTTCCCTTTCTTCTTCAAAGACACACAGCTAACCTCTTCTAAACTCTAACTGTATTGTTGAAAATCGCTCCCTGTGGGCATTGCTTCAAGTTTAGACTTTCATAGTAAAGATGATATGGAGGCAAATACGGACTGCTTCCTGTTTATCCTTAACTGCACGAGACTGCCATTATCGGAACTTCTGGTCTACCCAGGGCACATGTGCAACAAAACAGAACCCTTGGCATTTGGGTTTCCTCTAAGTTGACTGAATTTCTTTTTAAAATAACATTTATAGAGTAATAAGGCATATATTTAAAAATTATCTTTGCATTACTTATTTAGGCTGTGCCAAATGGTCTATATTGCAATCATAGGTCAGCACAGAAGCCTACCACTGAGAAAGATGGAGGTCAAGCAGTATTTGAGCTTTACATGATAGGTTTTGAAGACATTTTATTTCTGGACAACAAAAACCTAAACAAATTTTGTAGGAACATTTGGTGTGTCTATAGCTAGTACATTTAGTTACTTACCAAAGCCTCAAATTCAGTTTATTCCAGACTGTAGAATAAGGTGTGTGTGTGTGTGTGTGTGTGTGTGTGTGTGTGTGTAAGCCAGACACTGGAGCCAGACAGAACAGAACATAAATCTCAGTCATGCTATTAACAAGCTAATTAGAAAGTTATTTGACTGAGATTCCTTAGGTCTAAAATGGAAGAGTCTTGGTGAAAATTAAAATGAAGATAATTCATCTAATGTATTCATCACAGTGCCTATAGAGAACTAAGCAAATACTTAAAATTTTTAGCACTTTCACTTTATTATCATCATCAGAATTTTCCCGAAGCGATTCGAGACGTGCCACTAGTCCCGTCAACTTGACCTCTGAACCAAAAATGTGATTCTCGACTTACTAAAGGAGAACCAAGGCTACAACGACTAAGGGCCAGCAATCACAAGTCCATAGCATACAATATTTTGAGCGAGCATACCATATCCCACTGTAGAAAGACCCAAGTGTTTCATTCTATTTTTCACAAGTTCAGCAAGCTCTTGTCTCTCTGACCTCCTGTAGAGGTTCAGTCGCTGCTGCGTTATTTTCTCAGCTGTTTTACCAGAGTGTCTGGGACCTTTTCTGCTCAGCCTTCGGGCCCACTGCATGCTCTTTCTCCTCAGCAGGGGGTGGTCCGACTGGTCGCTGGACGTGGAGTTGCGGTGGTTGCCTCGGTGATGACCTTGGTCCTTGCAGTCTTTGGTGTCTTCCCATTCCTCCACACTGATTGATATTTGAGACTTGAAAGGAAATGGATATTGAGAATTAGACATTTTAGGGAACGATGTTAGCCTGGGGAACTGTGACTATGTTTGCTCGTGCCTTGATATTATCGTGTAACTCATGAGAGTTTTCACAGGAAGAGCCAAGCCATAGTCATTGATATTAACTTTGCATTAAAAAAAATACTATTAGAAAATATGTTCTTTTGGAATGATATATAAACCAGATAAAAATACCTTTACATCCTCCAATCCAAGTTTTTATGAAATGATTTAATTTTTACATATCAATTATTTTATCAAATGATTGTTAACATAGAGTTGTTTGAAACCACAAAAGACATGAGGCATTTTGTAACTTTATTCAAATAAAATCCATATAGTGGTTTTTTCTAAATCTACCACGCATAGTTCACATGAAATTTAAATAAGATTATGAAAACTGTTTCGTTCTTGGAATGAATACTTTAACATTTATTAAGGTATTGCCTTTCTAAAGATGGCATTGGAATGTACTTTATAAAATATGATTTTTTTAAAGTCCCTCATACAACCCAGAAGAAATCAAAAAGCACTTTTTAATTCATGCATTAATTATTCACCACATCAAATGTTTTCTGATTAAGATAATAAGAAATATTTCAGGAACTCTTTGAAGCATTCTAAGTGAAAACATGTTGTAAATATTAACATTTCACAAAGGTAGTCGAGAATCACAAATACAACTGAAACCGGGCTGTTCTCTGTATGAGGGGGAAAAACTGAACAAACTCATACAGTCCATTGTGATGGGCTCTTTCACGACTGATCGTTAAGTAAGAAGCTCTCCTTGGATGCTAAGCCCTTAATAAACAAAAACTCCCTGCTTTCAAATGGTTGCTTTTCGTACCAGGAGGTCATGTGAAATGCAATGCCCATCAAAGCGAAGGTCTGACTCTGAGAGCACGGGCCTGTGCAAACCTAGCTTCCTGCCCTTGCACCACAGAAGCATCCATGAGCCTGCTGCCTCTCCCCTTCCCTGGACGCAGTCTCAGCACCAGCTATGCCAGGCCTGTGTTGCTGGCTTTCAGAATAATAGAATTCAAATTGCCAATTGAAGTTAGGGCAGGAGGCGATCCAACAAATCCTTTCCAAGTGAATATAAATGACGCAGGCTCAGGCAATGCCTCACACATTACCTCGTGGCAGGCTAGGGAATTATCTCACTCTTAAACTCAATGAAAAATAGGGATATTTGTCTACCTTTCTATTTCAAAACAGCACTGTATCCGAGTGATATAAAAATGAGTTAGTTCACCTTCATATCTTCATGGTAAGAGAGCATTTTATTAGAAAATTTTTAGAAACCTTATTTTAGCTATTAGAATTGAAGTCGGAAATACTACAAATTTTAACACCATGGTTTTGCAGTAGTGGATACCATTTAGGTCTTAACTTCCTCTAGTCTCACCTACTTGATACTATCTCCTCTGTGGAAGTGAACAGCATGAGCCCTTGAGTCATATCTACCATCAGAATAGAATATCAATCTTTGTTCGGTCATTTCAGTTTATATGGACTTAGTAAGAAAAATGAAAACATATTCATTCCTTCATAGCGGAGCACTTGGCTTGTAGAGTTTTGTCCATCACAATCTTAAATGTATTTGGTGTGATCTTTCTCGTCCTGTCTCTGTAATAGTTTGATTTCCTACAAATATGTGGAAATAATCATCTCGCCAGACCAAATACTCAAAATATTCTGTTCCTATAATGTCACTTATCCTTCAAGGCATGAAACCATAACCTAGTAATGTTTTAAGGGAGAGGTTTGCGTCTCTTCTGATAGGGCTGGCTGCCTTCGATCGGGTTACGCATGAACTCTGGAATATTGTGATAGTCCCAAACCTCAGACGCAGCGAGCTTCTGAGACTCGGTCCTGTAGATCCCTATGGGGACGTCTCCGCTGGAGGAGCACAGCTTCTGGTAGAGCCGGGCGTACGTTCTGATCCAGAGGTCCTCCTCGGTGATCTTTATCTGGAACACAGGGATTACTGACATCTCAACTGCTTCAGAAGTAACAACCCGGTGGTTATGTTTTTACTTCTTACAGGTGGAAATTGTTGATATCTTGAAATCTCAACATGCCATTTCGTAAGTGCTCATTCATCTGTGTATTAAACTTATCGAAGGCACCCCATCGCAGCCTATTCCTGGGGCTCACCCCAACCTAGTAAAGCAGCCAGTCAATGCGGGGCAGTATGACATTGGGTTAGCTCAACCTCAGGAGACAGCAGTCACTGGTAATCAGCTGGGACTTGTTGGAAAAGTTGTGGAGACTGTTTTTATTTTTTTATTTTTAAATATATATGTATATTTAAAATATATTTTATTGATTTTTTAAAGAGAGGAAGGGAGAGGGATAGAGAGTTAGAAACATCGATGAGAGAGAAACATCAATCAGCTGCCTCCTACACACCTCCTACTGGGGATGTGCCCGCAACCAAGGTACATGCCCTTGACTGGAATCGAACCTGGGACCCTTCAGTCCGCAGGCCGACGCTCTATCCACTGAGCCAAACCGGTTAGGGCTGTGGAGACTGTTTTAAATGGTGTGATAACCAGAGGCTGCACTGGGACTTAGTGGGTAGGGTCTGCTGATGCTGGAACTCTTAACGTACAAAGGACACGCCAGCACAAAACAAAATTGTCCATCCCGAGTTCTACGAACACCCGTGTTGAGAAAGACCTTAGCAGGATGAGCACAGGGCTCACAGCGGGGGGTACACATACTAGTCCTTTGTTAATCCTCAATTTGAATTGTTGGCAAGTCACACCTTAAATACACTTAGACACCGCATACTCTTTTACAAACAATTACAATTCAATTGAACTGCGTGAGGACTGCTTGGCTGCAGTAAGGGATACTGTTTTTCTGACACAGTGAGGAAAAACACCTGTTCTGAATTCTGAACAGCTATTGATCTTGATTATTAACTTCAAATAATGTTTTCCCTTGAACTTTTCCTAAGGAATTTTAAAAAACTTTTTTTTGAGCACATATTAGGGGTGAAATGGCCTAGAAGAATAAGCCTAAGTACATTATCGTTGGACTTCAGACTGTTTATTGGAACCATCCATCTTTTATGCCAAAAATGATTAACTTACAGAACAAAGGAAGCCCGATCCTGGGATAGTGTCCAATCCCAGCAGGAGTCTGGTGATGGAAATCATATAATCCTTCACAAACGACTGCGATACAAACAAGATGATGAAACGTGCGGACTGGCCACAGTGTGAGCATCATATTACTGCTAACAGGCTGTTTCTCCTAACACATCAGTAAGCCTCCATTAAACAGGAAGTGAAAAATATATCCTGTGAGTGGCCTAAATACACATGTCCAGTTAGCCGTTCATAAGGAGACATGGAAATATTTATTCTCAAGAATATCTCGATATGCTTACATTTTATTCATGCTGTTAGACATGATAAAAACATTTTTAGATTTTTAACAAAAAAATGAGTTGATTTAAAATAGAGAATGTCATAAATACATGGAAGAACTAATATTTGCAAGGAAATATAAACGTTTTACAGATTAAGCTCTATTCTAGTAGAATAATTTTCTAATATTTCAGTAACTCTAAATATTAATGAGTTCATAGTTTAGTAATAAATATTATCAGACTCCATGTGCTGACACATAAGATATATTTTGATATGTTGCCAGAACACTACTCAGTAGTGAGAGCATTCGTAATGCTTCCTATGTCTTTGATTTAGTCTTAGCTGTGGGTGAAATGCAAACACATTTCACCATGACATGTACAAACATTCAATCAATTAAATGCAACTAGAGGCCCGGTGCACGAAATTCGTGCAAGGAGCTCAGCCCTTGAAACCCCGGCTTCGTCCGGAAGTTGGGACAGTCATTCTGCCATTTGGTCTAATTAGCATATTAGCTCTTTATTATATAGGATGACTGCCCTCAGTTTGATCTTCAAGTACTAAAATTGGAAAAATAATCATCTAGTTATTCCGCATACCAAAGACTTTTAAAAAGTTATGCCTTTTAAATAAATCTACTAGACTACTTTCTTTTTTACAATATATTTGTATTGACTTCAGAGAGGAAGGGAGAAGTAGAGAGAGAGTGAAACATCAATGATGAGAGAGAATCATTGATCAGCTGCCTCCTGCACACCTCACACTGGGGATCAGGCCCACAACCTGGGCATGTGCCCTGACCAGGAATTGAACTGCAACCTCCTGGTTCATAGGTCAACGCTCAACCACTGAGCAATTAGCATATTAGCTCTTTATTAACCACTGGACAGGCTAGACTACTTTCTTGATTACTCATTTATTTTACTGATGCTGGTATCAAAAAACTAAACTCTTCCATCCAGAGGAGAACATAAGAAGACATGCCCATTCCCTTTGTTCAAGCCAAAGAAATGGTTCATCATTTTATTGGCACAAATTTGATATCTTATCTCAAAAAAATACATATTAATAAAATAGGCAGCTTTTTTAACCTAGTGATTTTTTCTTAGATATTTCTTGGTCTAGTAATATGAATGTAGCAACATTAAATTGCCAAAAAAAGAAAAAACAACAACAACCTTGTAGGACCCTGGTACTAACGCATGCCTTAAAAATATTTCAGAGGTTATTCTGAAAAATAACATTTCTCTTACAAAATGTTTTATTAAATTTTATGTCATTAAGTCCATGAAATAAAATATTGAATTACTTTCAGAGCCTAAGTCAACAGCTCCATGAGAAACACCAGACACATTATTTATTTAATCAAATCTCAGTGAAATAGAAAAGTACACATTTTGAGAGAGAGAAAGAGAATTCTCGCCTACCTGGTAGAGAAGTGTATCCAGCATGCTGATGCTGAACACCCGCCCGGCAGCAAACGGCAGCCGGAACATGAAGGCCAAGTTCGAACCCCTCTCTCGTTCTTTCTGTCCAGAAATTTGAGATGGAAACATTTGTGAGCGTTCCATATTTTACATTTTTCTTTTTTTAAAATATATTTTTATTGATTTCAGAAAGGAAGGGAGAGGGACAGAGAAATATCAATGAGGAGAGAGAATTATGGATCGGCTGCCTCTTGCACACCCCACAATGGGGATGGAGCCCGCAACCCGGGCATGTGCCCTGACTGGGAATCGAACTGTGACCTCCTGGTTCATAGGTCGACGCTCAACCACTGAGCCATGCTGGCCGGGCCATATTTTACATTTTTCTGCCTAGTTAAATTTTCCTGATAACATGTGAAGAACATATTCTAATTGTATGATTCTTAGCTATGACCGTCATGACTTCATTCATAGTTATATTTTGAACATGTAACAAGGTATTCAGCTCATCATCCATGCTCCATAAACATTTATTGGCCTGAGTTTAAATGCGGATTCTGTAGAATTTTGCCTTGTTGCTCTCACTCCTACATCCTCGCCTGTTTCTCCCAGAAGCTAGCGAGCTCCATTGGTAGCATGTTGCTCTGCCGTTCACACTATAAAGTGTTACATGGTTTGCAGACATGAGGGTTTGCATTCTGACACGGACCCTCTGCCATTAGCCGGGTGTCCTCAGCTCAGTTCAATCCTGCCACTCACTACCCAGAGCTGGCCCAGCCCACCGGACTGCCCCTGTGCCCATCCCCCTTCTGCCAGCCAACTGCACTCCCGTCCAGCCAGCTGCAAATTCAGGGCTTCCCACACTCCTTCCAGGTTCAAGGAGCTGCAGTTAATTATTATCATTTTATTGTAGAGAATGCAAATCAGGGACAGATGAAAAGATACATCTGGGCAGGTCTGAGCGACACTCTTCTCTCAGGTCAACGTGTTCGCTGAGCAGAACAATCTCCAGTCCTCCTCCTCCAGAGCTTTTAGCGAAGTGTCAGGACTTAGGCATAATTAATGAGATCATTAGCCACGTGACTAAGCTCAATCTCCAGTCCCTCTGGCCTCCCTGGAGCTGGGGATGGGGTGAGAGGCTGAACTGTTCAACCTTCTAATCATGTGGGTCGTTTTCCTGGCAACCAGCCTCATCGCTAAGCTACCTAAGGGCCCCTCCAGGACCTGCCTGCTTAGCCGCAAATCAGTCATGATTGAAAGGTCTGAATAAGAAGAGTCACTCCTGTCACTCAGGAAATTCCAAGGGTTTTTTGAAGCTCTGTGTCAGGAACAAGGGACAAAGACCGAATCTATTTTTCTAATGATAATACCCCCCTATTCATCTCTCATTTTCATCACTTCGCCTCGTCCATCAGGGTGTAATTACCATATGATTGCTGGGGTGGAATTGTCGTCATCACTGGGGAATGGTGATGGTTCGAAAGCAATTTTAAAGGAAGTGGTCTTGAAGCAAATTGTGCCATAAGCATGAATAAAAGGCTATTTTATGAAATGCATTGAAACAAGAGAAATGAGACGCGTCGAGAGGGAAATGAGATGGAAATTTCTGTTTTCCCGATTATTGTCTCCCTCGTCTCCGTTGCATTATTACTTGTCACATTTCCCCTCTCTGCTGAGCTGTGTTACCAGGAGTGTCAAGGAGCCCACATGACCAATGACCAAGCATGGGACATGTTATTGGGAAAACAGTGGCAGGAACCGGAATATTCCCGAGAAGAAGGGTAATGTCGTACAAAAACACCCAGCAACAAAAGGTGGACCACACCAAAAGGAAGGGCCAATGAGAGGAAGGGCAAGCAGAACCATAATGTTCAGGAAATGTCCTGATAGGCGTGACAGATCTGAGAAAAATAGTGTGAGATACTGCACTTGGAAAAATTAAATATAAAGGCCCGGCCGGTGTGACTCAGTGGTTGAACATCGGCCCATGAACCAGGAGGCCATGGTTAGATTCCAGGTCAGGGCACATGCCCGGGGTTGTGAGTTCAATCCCCAGTAGGGTGCGTGCAGGAGGCAGCTGATCCATGATTCTCTCTCATCATTGATGTTTCTCTCTCTCCCTCTCTCTTCCTCTCTGAAATCAACAAAAATATATATATATTTTTTTAAATAATATTTTATTGATTTCTTACAGAGAGGAATGGAGAGAGATAGAGAGTTAGAAACATCGATGAGAAGAGAAACATCGATCAGCTGCCTCCTGCACATCTCCTACTGGGGATATGCCCGCAACCAAGGTACATGCCCTTGACCGGAATCGAACCTGGGACCTTTCAGTCCGCAGGCCGACGCTCTATCCACTGAGCCAAACCGGTTTCGGCAAAAAAAAATATATTTTTTAAAAAGAAAAATAACATAAATGGAGCCGCTTCAAAATGGAGTGAGTACACACATTCCCGTTACACTTAATTCTGCTATAAATCATGCTTTTAATTTATGATGAATGATGACAGAATAAGATATTCCATTATATTCACTTATGATAGAAATAGTTCAAATCCATCAATTCACATTTTAAAAAAAATCTATACATTATCATTTTATCCCCCACATAGGAATTCAAAGCAGCAGCATTATTTTTATTATTTCACTAGAGGCCCGATGCACGAAATTCGTGCAAGAGTAGGCCTTCCTTCCCCCGGCTGCCGGCTTCCCTCTGGCACCTGTGACCCGGGCTTCCCTCGCAGCCCCAGCTTTATCAGGAAGGACGTCCGGAATGACGTCCAGAAGGACATCCAGTCTAATGAGCATATTACCCTTTTATTATTATAGATGGCAGTTCTTTCTATATAGAAATTATTCTTCCAACCAAAATGGTTAAATGCGACTTACCTTCTCCAGTTTGGAAAGGGCCAGGGAGTAGCAGTCTTTGGCTCGGAACTGCATGAACCTCATGTTGGCGGGGTGAGTCAGCTCAGTGATGATGCTGAGACTGGAAAACAGCCTGCGTATCAAGGAAACGCGCGCGTTACACCCACAATGCCACACGGTGCTTTAACCACCAGGCCGAACCCATATCTTGAATTCAGACACGAGAACTGACTGGAAATACGCAGGATGTAAACAGCCTGTAAATGGCTCAAAAACAACACCTTTCTCCAGCTGCTCCTTCTGCAGATGCGTTTGCTTCCGTGTGCCCGAACACGGATGCAGGAGCCTTCTAGGGGGCGACACTTCTTGTAAGAGGGGAGCCCTCTCTGAGCTCCTGTGCCACTGTGAGTTCATACCCGTCCTCGGCTCTAACTCCCTGATCTGAGTGATGAGTGGCCAGAACCTGTCACTGACCCCAGGGAGGCTGGGCCTGCTGCCTCTGGGCAGCCCGAGGTGTCTGTTCCCTGACTACCTGCCCCTCCCGTCTGTCTCCACTGGGCCTCAGTCACCATCTCAGTTAAGACTCTAGCAAATTCTTAAAAATACATACTTTCAGGGTTGTCTGGGAAACTGTATGCCCTCTTGGTGAACTTAGTGGTCATGTAGTTGAGCCTCACCTGGTCAGAGCCTTTGACAACTATGATATCAGGTGTTTCATGAAATCCACCCTTTATAGGAAGAAACAGCCTGTGTATCAAGGAAACGTGATTATATTTTATTTATATTTTATTTCTTCACTTCTGTTTTGAGAAATATCATAGTTCTTGATCTCAGTCAGCTGCAATAATTTGATTGAAATATCAACAAAACAAAGACTTCTTTTGCTGATTTTTTAAGGTTAAAGATATAATTTGTTCAGATCCTCAGTGTTTGCAATAATTTTGTAACCTCGGGCCGGTTAAGGAAGTTCTGAGGCTCAGGATCTGTGAAGGTGGGTTGTTGTCAAGCTTAACGATGCTGTTTGGGAAGGACTTAGCTTACGGTCACCACACCATCCTCACTGGTTCTTAGCGGTGGTGGTGTGACTACTTCCCTAGCTCTTTGCCTTTTTTTTTTTTCTCGCGTTGCTATTTCTGCTTGAAATGCACTTTCTTTCCTCCTTACTTTCTCCATCTTTTGAGATCCCAACCATTACTTCAGGTTCCTCTCAGATCTAATTGAGATGAAGTTTGAAAATTGCTCCAGGTCAGAATCATTCTCTCCACGTTGGCACCTTCGTGTTTGAGTTTTATGAGTTATGACATGTCTTGAACTCCGGTGGGTTTTATCCACACGTTAGCTCTCCTGCCAAATTATGACAGCTAGTCAGTGTCTAATAGTATGTCTATTTCTTTAATTATAAATCTTTGGTACAATAAATAATTTCCCAATTTCATTTGTGCATTTTTTGTTTAGGAGAGAAAAGTCTTGATGAAGAGGGTGCTACCATAGAACTAGTTTAGCTAGAAACACCGTGTCATCTATATTCTTTCAGAAGCTCTTTGTTCTTACTCAAAAGCCACCAAAGAGAACAAATTTGATAAAAGTGCATCCCCCCCTCCCTCCCAGGAACTATTGAAAACTGAGAAGAGTGGCCTAATAGGAAAAAATAGCCATTGGCTTTTGGGCCGGCATAGCTCCATCTGGTAAACCCAGGAAATGCGTCTATGTGCCCAATCTCAGACCATCTGGGAGTTCCCAAAGTATTTCTTTAAGAAATATTTTAAAAGAACAGTGTCACCGTGGAAATTAATAAAGCAAACTTGGACTACTAGTGAAATTGGGATGCGAACGCCCTGTAGAGGGAGCTCTCACACTGTGCACAGCTTGGCCATTACCCCAAACAGCAAGACCATGTGAATAACCAGTTTAGTTCATTCATTTACACCCAATAGAAAAGGAAAGCTTTGGTCTACAAGGTCTAAAAATATGTATAAAGTGAAATCCTTGCCTTTAAATTAGACTCTGTGGCCCAATAGAGGGAACTACACATGTTCACAATTTACCAGGCCATACATACTGTGCTAGGGGTGATAAATGTGGGTAAATGTTCACAGATTAAGTAGCGTCAACCACATGTGAACAGAGAGCTCGTGAGAAACATCTGGAACACTGCTGAGATATGAGGCCAGGGAAGAGATTTATGGGAAAAACAGAGCTGCAGACAAATGAATATTTATTTCATCCTTTGGGAATTTTTCTTTATGAAATACAGATTTTATCTTTCATATATATAATTCTAAATGGTTAAATCTGTGCTTACTTGGGTACTATAATCCTCTTCTAACACATGATATCAAATATAAGTATACACATGTGTGGCCAGATATTTTGAGGTCTTCGGAAGAGTAGGTGATAATATGATTAACCAGGTCATTTCCTTAATATGTGCAGGTGAAATTAGAGAGGACAACAAAATTTATGGGGTGTGCCTGTTCTGTTCTGTATGAATAAGCCGAAACCATTTATGCTTTTTAAACTGAGAAACTGAACATATTATCTAAGTCTGCCACCTAGTGAAAACCTAGAACTGTTAAGTAAGACTTAATAAAATGTTTCATTGCAGTGCATTTTATATTTATAACCTATTTTTTTATATTCCATTATAACAGTTTATATTTAAAATTTAAATACCTAGTAGATTTAATTATGCATATTTAAAGTGCTAATGCTATTTCTGAGCCTTAAGAAGACCTACATACTTTTTGCCTGTAGAACATTTTAGATATTAAATGACATAATCAGTCTCTTTTCCCTAGGAACTAGGCTCATAATAAAGCAATAATGTAATTGAAAAATAATATAGTTTGTTCTACTTAAAACTTGTCTATAATTCATTTATGCTCTGACTCAGTGATGTTGAGTATCATTGTAGAAAAGTGTCAAATATCTATGGCATAGTTCTCTGCCTGAATTAATTCATTCAGTAAATAGCTTTGACACGCCCAGTTATGCTAACCAATATAAAGATGAAAAACAGACCATCTACTTTCTGTCACCGGCCACTAGAAAAACTCTGGGGCTAGCTGCAATTGTGTATTAAAGCAAAACAGATAGGTGACCGTAGCGGGAATTCCTGCCCGGATGAGTTTAATTAACAAAGACAGGAACATAGTGAGGATAATAAGGTTAGACTTAGCTCTAACATGGGTACATTACCTGTCCACAGCCTTGTAATCTTTCATGCCTAGTTACCCAGGATGTAAATGCATACCTTTGGCCATGGCTGGGCATAAAACCAAAATTAGCGCACAGGGTCCATCCCAAATTATGACTACGCATGACGTTTTAGAATTTGTTATTG